AACGAGAATCAGGATGGACTGTTGATCCTGACAGAGAGCCAATGGAGGTATATGTTGATAGTTGACAATTTTTAGATTACAAATCTGTAGCTTTATCAGTCAAGAGTTGACCTATTTCCATCAGATCCCTCTTATGCAACTTGTAGCTTGTCAGTGTATGCTAAACCTGGCACTGCTCAGGAGCCACTTCATTGTTCTATTGAATTAACTGGAATAGATCCTTCAAGAATTGTCTACATAAATGTATCGCCTCCTCCTCCTCCTCCTCCTTCATCAATGAGTTAGTTAACTTATATACTTCATTACAAATCATCATCCCTTGTGTATAGTAGACAGTACTAGCTCAAGCTCCTCTACTGCTAGTATCAGTCAAACCAGGAGAGAGACTGAAGAAGGTATGGTTTATATTAAAATATTAACACACAAATCACTGCAGAGTTTGTATCATTAATAGATACATTTAGATCTGATATTGCTCATAGAGTAATGACAGAATGTACTGGAATGATCAAGGATTGTGGGATTGATATTCACTTCTTAGTAGATAAGTTATTAGAACACAAAATTGTCAATACGAGAGAGAAAAGACGAATATTTGATCAAGAAATTGACGACAAAAAAATGGATCAATTGCTTCACATTATTTTAAGTTCTATTTCTATGGATGGAGGAGTATTTGGTATATTCTTAGATATACTAAAAAAGGAGGATACTCTAAGAACTATTAAACTAGCTGATCAACTATTAAAAAGATACGAATGGAAAAAAAATCTGTAAATTTATAACTATTATAATTATGCATCATTTATCTTTAGTGCCGGTGTGTGTGTGTGTGTGTGTGTGTGTGTATGTTTTGAAATAAAAGTATATTTAGCATTTTCATTTGCTTTAATATCTGATTTTAGTTTTATCTGATTTTTATCTGAATATCTGATTTTATTCTTAACCACGCCTGAAATATGTGCTACGCCCACATCATTTACATGTGGCATGTCCAGGCCAGCACCTCGGCCAGTACAGTAACAGAGATGACTTCAGAGAAGAGTATCGAATTTGACGAGCTTCCACTACATCGTCTCCTTGGTATTGACACTCTTCTGTTTGGATCATATTACTTTTTGTTATTTTTTTAGATACTAAAGATTTAGGCCATGTTTTGGGACTTTTGAGGCAGTGTTCGTTTTCCTTTCGCAAATGGAAAGACTTTGGATCAGCTTTAGGACTGGGTCGTGGGACATTGAATGACATTCAGCTTCGGTTTGGGAATAACTCAAGGGAAGATTGTATGAAAGAATGTTTGTCAAAATGGCTAAAGAAAGTAGACAACGTTAAGCGTAAAGGAGTGCCTACTCTAGGGAGATTGTCAGATGCTTTAGAAGAGATTGGTGAGAGATCAGCTGCTGAATACATCAGAAGAAATGGTGCGTGGTATAAATGTCTTTAATTCAATTAGTAATGATTTATACTAATTATGGGCTCCCAT